TAAACTGGGTAGTTCTCGAACTCCAGGAACTTCATTCCTGCTCCCCAGAGKGCCCTCAAAGCCAAGCACGTTTAATTCATTGGCTGTGTTAGTGGTCAGACATGAATGATGAAATTTCCYTAATTTCCCATAAACTGTGAGTAGTTAACTCCAGGACTCAGACAAGGAAGAAGCTGCTTTGCTGTGATTTTCTGGGGGTGATCCTTGCTGCCTTACTTAGATCTTACAAATAGATAGGCAGAGAGTATCTGGGGTGTCTGGACTGATAATTCGTTCAGTAGCTACCATCAAAGAGAACTTCATAGGGTCACTGTAAAATAAACTGTGGATCCCTGTGTCCCTAGTATGTCACAAACCCCCTGAGATGGACTTGTGGCACTGGCCAAGCACATTTTGCATATACAGGTAAAGGGTACTAAAATATCACATTACTCTGTGTATCTATACCTAAGGTATCAGTTTTAAATCCTTTTAAATATTATGTATTGTTATTAATGTTCTGCTCTCCCAATAGGAGAGAAAAACACTCTTTAGGATACTCCTTAGGAAGATACCAATGAATATTTTCAGCAATCCTGACTTGGATGTCATTCAGTGCTGTGCTAGAAAAAGAGGACATGGAGCAAAAGCCATAAAGGGACCTTGGGCATGCTGCCAGCTGCTGACACAAATGAATATTTCTCTTCTTCCTACATCCTTATTTTGAAGAACTATCCTTTCATCTCTTGGCAGCCTGATCCAGTACACAACACTTGTAACATGCCAATGTATAACGTCAATGTACTCTCCCTTATACCTCTCTTTTACCCTAACCATTTTTTTTTTCCTGACCACTATCCTCTCTACTCACTAGAAGACTCAACTTAAATCCTACAGCTGCCAGAGACCAACGTGGTACAGTCAGTGCCCTGTGGTGSGGACAGGCACTGTGACATTCTTATCAACTCTCAGCAGCCCACCACCTGTTGTTACTTCTAATGGGAGAAATTCAATAATGCAAATAAGATAGAATGCTTATGACTATATGACTATATTTGCATGTTTTGACATGCATTAAATTCACTTAAATAAAAGTCATAAATGCTTGGACTTTAAGCCTGGCAAAGCTGTGGAGTGAAACAAGCCTTAAAGGATGGTCTTAGYTGGCATCTCCCGGAGCCACAGGCAAGCCAACCTTGGCTGCTCCTGCTTGGTGGCACCCAGAGTTATGTGGGGCTGAATTCTGCCTTTTAGGTCTCTTCTGCCATTATCTGGGCTTGCATTGGCTGAGGACTAGAAAAATRAATAAAACAACTAAAAGAGAGAGCCTTGGATGCTCTACCTGCTACCCTCCTTGTCTCTGGCTTCCTTATCTCTCTCTCTTGGCTTTTGCCTTTTGTGAATATGTTGAGCCTATCTCTTATTTCTCTGCTGTCATCCACTGAGGCACACTGGTGTGTGTATGTGTATTGAGGGTTGGGCCACAAGTACAAGTTTCTGTAGGAGGAAAGACAAGGTTTTTCAAAGGCTGCACATAAAAAGACCCAYGTTTATTTGTGCAGCAAAATAATGTTAATGTACGGTTGCCCRAATAGTCCCTTTGAAATTTTGAGTGTTAATGTGCAAAGACAGTAAAGCAAGAATTGGGATCATTTATGCAGCAGGAAAGGAGAATTCCTGATAATCTAACCTAAAGTCATATTGTTACCGCCATTTTTTTCTTTCCTTATGAAATTGTCATTCCCTGCTTTGTGGGCTGCCCGGGCACGGTGTGCGGGGCTCGTGTGT